AAAAAAACCATTTTACAAGAACAAGATAAATCAAAGAACTGAATTTTATATAGGTGCGACCCATACTTATGGAAGATCAATACCATGACTAGTCAAATTATTATATTGAAACGAAAAAAATCACGTGGTATCACCGGTCCTAGACATTAAAATCAGTATCTACAAAGAATATCATATTTTATAACTACCATAATAAATAACAAAGAGAGTAGCCCCAAAAATGTAGTTTAGTTTCAATTATTGATAGTATTTTGATTAAAAAATAAAGTTGCAAATGTTTTCAACCTTACCCATCTCCATCACCTTACCCTTCTATATAAGAAATCTCTTATACATCCTCCTTCTATATAAGAAATCACCAAACACATCAATCTCCCAAACTCTAATAAAAGCTCTCTCTTTGTGTCACGAAACTGCATAAATCACACTTAAAATCAGAAATGGGAGCCACAAAATTGACCCATGTGACCACCATTAACCCTAATAACACCAACATTCATGGACCGGTCGTAGACGAAGTAGAAGGCCTTATTAGAGTTTACAAAGACGGCCACGTGGAACGATCTCCAATCGTGCCGTGTGTTGGTCCCTCACTACCCCCCGAGCTCGGTGTGGCTTGCTCCGATGTTCACATAGACAAGTTGAAGAACGTATGGGCACGTCTCTATCTCCCGATGATGACCAAATCTTCGTCGGTCTCTAAGCTCCCTTTACTTATCTACTTCCACGGTGGAGGTTTTTGCGTCGGCTCGGCTTCTTGGTCGTGTTACCACGACTTCTTATCTAGATTGTCCGCTCGCTCGCAGTGCTTGGTCATGTCCGTAAATTACCGTTTAGCCCCTGAAAACCCTCTTCCGGCAGCTTATGAAGATGGATTCAATGCAATTCGTTGGCTCAACAAATCAAGAAACGATAACTTGTGGTCCAAGTTATGTGACTTCGACAGAATATTCTTGGCCGGAGACAGCGCCGGAGGCAACATCGCGCACCGTATCGCTGCCGCAGACGATTCGGATGTCCAAAAGCCGATGAAGATTGAAGGAACGATCCTGATCCAGTCTTTCTTCGGCGGGGAGGCGCGTACGGAGAGTGAGAGGCGCGTGGAGAACAACAAGAGCTCGGTTTTGTCACTGGCTGCGTCCGACGCGTGGTGGAGGCTGGCTTTGCCACGTGGCGCAAACAGAGAGCATCCGTATTGTAAACCGGTGAAGATCACGACGAGGACGCTGGTGTGTGTGGCGGAGATGGATTTGCTAATGGACAGAGACATGGAGATGTGCGATAATATTGGTAATGAGAAGCTGATCAAGCGCGTGGTGTACAGAGGCGTTGGTCACGCGTTTCAGATTCTTGGCAAGTCTCAGCTTGCTCACACGACAACTCTAGAGATGTTATGCCACATCGACGATTTCATCAACCACTATGATCACTTTAATTAGTTGTATGTTTGTAGAAGTTTTTTATGGTAGCTCTTGTTATATGTTTGTTGTATCTAATTAAAATGATACTGAAATGTTTTTGTGTTCAATATCATATAGTAAAGTAAGTTTTGGGAATTAATGAGTTTCGGTTTAGGATATTCTGGTTATTTATCAATATACTATATAATCATATATATCAAAATCTGGGACCAAAATTGTAGTTGGGACCAAAATTTGCGATCATATCCACGTGAATTTGATTTTAGTTTAAAACAATCACACGACGCATTTGGTAGTTGGGACTGATAGTGTCATTTGGTTTTTGTAATGCAAGTGGAGCCTTAATTGGGTCGTTCAATTAAAACCTGATCGACAAATATTTACTCGATAGGTAATGTACACACAAAATTGGTCGTGAGTTATTTAATTGGATGGGTTGGGCATGAAATGTTGCCTTAAACCATGAGTTTAATGCCGCCCGGATCATCTAAAGTTACCAAAATATAATTGTAAGTTTTGTTAGTTGTAACTACTAAAATAGTGTCTTAAAAATGAAGCTGACAATGGTAGTGGACTAGTGGCGGACACATTGTAGACAAAAAGCCTAGTTCATGGTTCGTTTTGAAGGCAACCTCATTTTCTTCTTCTTTTTACCTTATTTTTTTTATTACAAATGTCAGCATTATTATCTATCATTCATTACTTTTGGAAAACTAGCATTATCAATTTCTATTCTAAGACACACAAACGTTGACCATTTCATTTTTTCCGAGTTTTTCTCTCTTGGCCAAACCCCGATTCCACATTGGAGCCAATTCCACTAGTGACCAATCATCATCACATGACCACCCATGGTAGAAAAAACATACACAGTCCCATGTTTCCTCTATTACAATATGCTTATCTG